GTAATTTTTCTGAGAAAAAATGTGGAAATGTCTCTATTACATGAAATTTTTATGAAACAGAAAAAAAAAATATATGCATGTTAAAGAACCTCAAATAATAATTGTGTTTCAGTCTTCTGTTATCATGTATTTTGCCGGAGTTGTTATTATGGACTCATTGTTTGAAATTTTGAGTGTTTATGAATCTCAGGAAATGGAATTACTCTTCTACGCTTTTTGCTTGTGGGAGAAAATTCGTGACTTCTTGTGGTTTAAGCCCAGCTGGCAACTAAGCACCACTCCAGATACCTCCCACCTCCCACTGAAATGGGGAGGAGAATCAAAAGTAAAACTTGCAGGTTGAGATAAGAACAGTTTAATAATTGAAACAAAGTAAGATAATAATAATAATAATAAAATAAAAATATAAATGGAGAGATAAACCCCAAGAAAAACAAGTGATGCACAACACAGTTGCTCACCACCCACTGACAGTTGCCAAATGCCATTCCCCTGGGTTGGGGTTGGATTGGGTGAGTGTGTAAAGGGCTATGTGGTACTTAGTTGTCAACAGGGCTTAAACCACAACAGTTCTTTTTGGTGCCCTGTGTGGAGTTGATGTGCCGGGCCCTCAAATCTACACAGTTCAGTGAACCTGGTTATCCCTCTCCTCCACCTGACTGGAGACAAGGTCTCTCTAATGCCGATCGCATGGTTCCACATTTCCTTCTTGTAGAAATGGACTAGAACTTGTTTCCACAGAGTCAGGAGTATAATGAGCCCTTTCATTCTGCTTGGGAAACTGTCCACTGGAGACTGGAGCAAAAATTTGTGATTTCTTTTCCCTGCCATTCCCACACCCATGCCTCTAGAGTTGGGGTATGTTTTCAATCCTTTTTCCTCATGTCCTTTCTGAGGTCCCCCTTAAACCTCGACACTTGTTCTTAATCCTCTTCCCTTCCTTTCCTTTCCCCTCTCTTCTCCACCTTCTTCCCCTTCCTATTTCCTTTCCCTTTGCCCTGTTTTCCTTTAGTATAGCATTTGCCTATGCTAATTTATTCTAAAATATAACATCTGCTAACAGTTTTATGCTAATCAAAATTTTTAGAGCTTTGACTCGTTGGAGAGGCGATGTTCATGAACAGATGTCTTTGTGCCTTCTCTGGACAAGTTATTTTTTAATTATTTCATGGTGTTCTCTGTATTTCTTTCACAATTACTGATTTGCATTTAACTCTGAATAGAGTGCTTTTCGTAGAATACCATCTTTTCATGTAATACTTCCCACAATACTAATTTCTTTGATTATATATCTGATGAACGAGCTGATTAAATAGTTTAATTTTTTGATAAAATTTATTTGTTAAATTTACATAGAGACAATGAGGTCTATTATTTTTTTGGAAAGAAGAACACAGGAATGGCAATGAAAGTAGATGGTAGTGAGATAAGTAGGATGAGGCTTGATGTTTTAAGACATCTGAATATATTCAAATCAAAAAATTTGCAAATACAGTTATCTATTAAAACTTAATTTCAATCTATTTCCCAATTCTCCTTTTTCTTTTTTTTTCTTTTTCACCAGCTTCTGAGTTTTTAGGTAATGTTCTTTGGCATAAAATTGTTTCAGTTGCTAAACTTGGAACATGTATACACTTGAGATATTTCAGTCTACATAATATTGAGGTCAAGTTAGCACACAGAACACTCTAAGTATGCTTCACTCACTTATAACACCTGGGGGAGGACTCCCTTGCAAATTCCACATTTTCCTTCCATGTTAATTGTACAGTGCTCCATAATTCTAAGACTAAGGCTTGTGTAGTTTACCATGATGTAGTGTAGGGTAGGGGTTTTGGTTTTTTTCCATACCAGTGTAATTTCTTCAGTCCTTATTTAAATTTGAAGGTTAATTTAATCCATGATGAAACAGGAATCTTCTCTTCTGGATCATATTTTATGCTATTTTTCTTTTAAAGTAAATCCCTTGGATTTCCTTCAGGTCCCCTTGTGTTATGTAAGGTCAGCAGTTGCAGCCAACAGCTCCATCAGCTAAACCAAGAAAGTTTGTGTTTTGGCCTTCATTTAGCATGAAGACAGAAATATGTAAAACTGCCATATACTTAAATAGCTATTCTTTCTAGTAGTTAAGATTTTAACAAAGTCCTGTCTTGGATTTTATTTTTCTTCTACTTCTAGAAAGGAATTTCTACTTCTCATGAAAAGTCATCTTGTGCTTCGCATGCAGTATCTGCAGTCCTTCCTCTGTCCTATACTCTCTCTTGTTTTCCCCATTTCTTCCATCATTGTGGTTTTGAAGAAGAAAAAATAAATGGGAACCAACAATTCAGCATGCAGCTGCTTTGGGCATTTTTTAAAATTAGGTTTTGGATAAATTTTTAGTATAGCACAAGTAACAAATCAACATGCAAGGGAGAGTCTTCTGAACATTTTCATTCCTCAGTAGGTAAAGGGTGATGGGTAAAACCTAAAAAAGTTTTTTAAAAGGTTATTTTCAACAAGAATGTATAACAAGCAACTAGGCATTTGTTTGGCAAGGCATTAACTAGCCATGATTGGTTTTCAAGTTTTGAGTTTTCAAAGGTTTGAGTTGACAAACACTTTTCAATGACACAATAAATTTGTCTGATGCAACATTGAGACTTTTGTATCTGAAGACTTACTGCAATTTTGATCCATAAAAGACATTCAATCTACTTGAGAAAGAAGACTTAGTTACCTTGTTGCCAGAAAAATAGCAACCTTCTTCAGGTTTAGGATGATATGTGTGGCAGCGATGTAAGGTGTCTTAAGGTATTTTTAGTTGTGATTAATGGAAGATATTCTTCCAAGACCCTAAAAAATCAATGGAACTTTTGGTTTAAGGTTTACTTGTAATACATTTGTAATTAATATGTCCTGCTAGGGATGCTACTATGCTGTGTCTTTATTTTCTTTCTAAAAGCTTTACCAGAAAAACCATATTATTTGTTAAGCAGACTTTTTTGACTGTCTAGGTTGATTTCAACATAAATTTTATGAATAGCTTAAACGCTGCAAAAAGGAAGAAAGACAGAGATGCAGGCATTACTAAGGCTAGTTCTGTTTTTCCTGTGTGATACAAACCAATATAATTATATTCTATTATCAATATGTCATTGTGCTCAAATTCCCAGGGAGAGTCAGCAACGTTATGGGCACAACTCTTTCATGGTGTAACAGAAGAAGGGCCTGTTGTTGTCTTATAGTGCTCCCTTAGAGTGCACAAATCTTGTGTTTCCCCTCTGCAAAAGTGACTTTTGTTCTGCAAGACACAACAAGGTCTCTCTGATTCAGTTGTATGTTTTAGTGTTAAATTTGTCCAACAACTTCAGGAATTCTGTACATGACTTGCATAATGGCACACGACTTTCCACACCATAATTTAAAACATTTTTATAAAGCTATTTCTCATACTAAATGGGAGGCAGCAAATAGAGTTGCTGAGTGTTATTACTTAAACAAATAATTCGAGATGTTGAGCAGTCCAAGTAAATAATATGTGAATCTATTCGGTATTGGTTTTCAGATATTTTGGGTAATAGAGTGGCAGCATGTGTGTTAACTAGAAATTACCTTAGTTGGAATGAGTTGTGCATGGCGTAAAAACTGGCTAGAAAATAGGGATTCCCAGTGCTGTAGAAAATTTGTGATGTTTTGGTTTTGTTTGTTCCATGAAACAGAAACAAGACCTTACTAAAAAAAATAAAAGAAGGATTGAAAGAAGCTCTTGCTTAGAAGAGCAGTCTGAAAGAAAGGAGAATGGAGTCATGGCAGAACAGCTAATAGCACTGAAGTCTGTGCTGTACTCATAAATTTGTATTGATTGGGGAAAAAAATTGATTTAGCACTGAAAACTGTCCTTAATTCTGTCCTCTGTTTAAGAAACCTTCCAAAAGAATTGGTACTTTCTAACAAAATGTTTTTCATAAAATTCCCAGCTAGCTCTAATGAGTGTAGCAGTGAGTAGCAGAACAACACTGCTGACAAGAAAGCAAATGTTTTCTGTGTAATATGGATTCCCAATTCTACTTTGCTCTGTGGTAAAAGTGGAAGATGTGCAATGTAGGTCAGCACAGTGTCAATTCTAGCAAATTAAAGTACAGATGCTTCCTCTCAAATCAATCAAAGCATCTGTCAAACTTCACAAATTAGAAATAATGTGGACATGTGAATCTACTTGGCACTGCAAAAAATAATCACTGTTTTTTATAGTGGTTCTCAATAGCTCTCATACATACAAAACCACTACAAAATTGATGGGTGCTCATAAAACTTGTGCAGTGACTAAACTATAAAAAAATTATATTTCTATATTTTTAATGCACTAGTCAAAGCATCAGATCATAAACTTAGCTTGAATTTTAGAAAGAGTGAATAATTTTTTATCACTGTCATGTGGGGAAAAATCTCAAATATTTCCTTTCATCTTTCACTGATGCTGTGGACAAAGTATAAGATGCCTTTTAGCCAGTTACAGCAGTGAGGCTCTGATTCAGTACAATTCCAAGTATGACCTATTAACATAGATATGTATCTTAGATCTTTAGTAGAGTAAGCCTAAGACTTATCTCCCTCTGCGTAATTCCAAGTTTGTTTCTGTCCCATGAAGGAGCACTTACTAGACACTCAATTTGGTATCACTTCCTGTGTGTTTGGGGTATTTTTGTTTCTTTCCCATTTCTTTTTTTTGCAAATTATTTTTCCAAATCTTTTCTCCTGATCTGCACCTTTATTGCCAAGTCTAGTTTGTGTTCTAGCTTTATTAGTATTCAGTTCCGCTTTATTTGTTCGAAGTAATGGTATGTACTTGAAATAAGGTAAGCACATCTCTCTTAAGCATTAGAACCCTGTTAAAACCAATGTATCTGAAAGAATCCTATGAGTTTAGTTGTACTGTCCTCTTTTACTCTGTCATACATAATTTTTTTTTTTTTTTTTTTTTGGTGCTCTAACTAACTAAACCTATTGTTTCATTTCAGTTTGGAAGACGTTACATTGAAGACCTTTTTAATGATTTTCGAGATGGACGAAGACTTCTGGAGCTCCTGGAATGCCTTACAGGCCAAAAAATTGTATGTGTTTTTTAACACATTGACTGTATATTGAAGCCCTGATGTTGTGATATGTGTAGTAGGTGATATTCATTAATTTCTGCCATTGATGAGGACCTATGGAAACTATTTTTAGGGATCTGAATATGTTTGACTTCCTTCTGAAATTGAGAAAACATTGTGACTGAGAGCTGTATTAACCAGTAGCCTTTTGCTAGGCATATATTTGAAATGAAAATATTCAACTTTGTTCTTTGCACTTATTAAGGAAGTGGGGCAAAGAGAAACAAGACTGAGGCAAGGTTCATTTAAATATCTAGATTTTAGCTGGAATAACATTTAATGTGTAGAATTAGAATGTTTTGTTAATAAATTTCATACATACAGTCTATGTGTGGGAGTTGTACTTGCCTGAAAAGACAGAACAGCTTGCTCTTATCAACTTGGAAACTCTAAAATGACATGTCACACATATTTCTGAATCTCCTCTCTTGTGTTCCTGGTTGGACTTGGTAAGCTTAGCATCTTTCTCTGAAACTTTCTCATTAAAAAGTAGTGAAGCAGGCTGGAGTTTGAGAATTAAAATCCAGAGATAATATATTTGTAAATAAATATTAAACAGACTGATGATTATCTGTTTAGTTGCCATAGTAATGATTCTAAATTGCCATGCAGAATACAACTAATCATGATAAATAGAATCTGGAATTATCTGATTTTATATTCATTTCAATGATTCATTCACTGAAAATTGTCAAGGTACCAAATTACCTTCTAAATGTGGATCCAGTTTGTTTCACAATTAACTCTATTCCATGTTGGGAAGCTGCATAAGCCCAATGTATGGTAATCATGGCTGGGCTTCGCGAACGAAGATTTGGGAAAGGCTCTATCCACATTTGTTACAAGCACGCTGGTGGCTAATAAGGCCAATGCGAGATAGACATATCCGATTACAAAAGGCACAACAGAAAGACTCCTTAGGAGGTATATTCTGCAAGGCACGATTCTTTCTGTGTTGTCTTTTCTCCTCAAGAGTGATTCTGTGTGCGTTCTCAAAGGCATCAGCAGCGTTATAGATGGCGTGTCTCCAAGCCTCCCGACTGGAGGCCAGAGTAGACCAGTTATGGTGATCAATATGGCCAAGGCTGAGATGTTGTTTCAGGGAGTCCTTGTATCTTTTCTTCGGGGCTCCTCTCATGCGGTAGCCGGTGGCAAGTTCACCATAGAGCAGGATCTTAGGGAGGCGGTGGTCCTTCATCCTTGAGACGTGCCCTGCCCATCGCAGCTGTGTTCTCAGTAACATGGCCTCAATACTTGTGACAGCTGCTTGTTCTAGAACAGATGTATTGGTCACATAATCTGACCAGTGAATGTTTAGGATTGTACGAAGGCAGCGTTGATGGAAGCGTTCTAGGAGACGCAGGTGATGGCAGAAGATGACCCATGATTCGGAACCATATAAAAGATTTGAGATACCTATAATATACTCGATTCTGATTTTGGACAGTCAAAGTTCTTTTACTTTCTTTGTAGGCAAAAGAAAAGGGCTCCACAAGAGTTCATGCTCTGAACAATGTCAACAAAGCACTCCAGGTTTTGCAGAGAAATAACGTAAGTATTCAGCCAGACAGATTCAGAACATTCTATAGACAGCATACAAAATATTTTGTAGATTTTTAAATCAAACTTTGGTCTATAGTATACAAATACTGGAGTCAAGGCAGTTTTATTAATGTGACTTGGATACTTTGTCATTCGGCATCAGGGGTGAATGTATTTTAAAGAGTTTAAAATCCTCTTCCAGAAAATTTTGAATAATACATCTATAGTGGATGATATCTGAAGATAGATCAACATGCAGGATTTTATAATAATGCATGGTGTTTAAAATAGATTTTTAAAACTTAATTACTAGAAGTCATCCATAACTGGTTACAAGGTGCTATCTATCAAAATACCTACTCACAACCTCTGACAATTTTGAAGTCTGAAAAACCGAGGCTTTTATGAGAATAAATTTTTTTGGTAAATTTTCAGAGGTTCTTCATGGTTCAAAACATTAATCATATCAAACCCACTTTCAATTCTACTTTGTGAAGATTGACTTTTCAAGCCAGTATCCTGTGCATCATTATTGAATAAACATTCTCATAGTATCTTCCTTATGCCAGCATTCTAATGGACCCATAACTTCAGCAGACATTTCCAGTGACCAACTAATTTTATCATATATCCTTCTCAAGAATAAATTCAAATAAACTATAACACTCACTTAAACTTAACAGTAAGAGGTGACAGAACAAAGATAATGTATTCTGTGCTGCCTATTATATTGGATTTCTTGATAGCTGCAGTAGGTCACTAAACATGCTTGAGTTCAACTGCTGAATAAAGCTATTTACTTTATAAATCTAAGATAATCCATCTAAAGATTTTTGCATAAATGAAAGTGACCTTATAATATTGGCATAAAGACCTCCCGCTTGATTTTTATTTTTATTTAGTGGAATTTCATGTAAATAAATGGAAGAAAAAGCTTCTAATTATTCAAAATCTGCAACATCTAACCTTAATGGGAAAAAATCATCAATGCATTATTTCACAGTATACAAGAAGGTGTTGACTGCATACCTGGTTACAAGTGTTCACAGCAAATGCTTTTTGAAGTATTCAGTACATACCATCTAAGTCCATTAATGTTCTATTCATTCAGTTTCTGGAACACAATAGTAGTCCCTCTCAAATACGGGAAGAAAACAGAGAGTATTCCAATTTTAGAAGATAGAAGAAAAAACATTGTTTTAGACAGTGAAGTGGTCATCCAGGGGCCATCATATTCATATAATAAAACCCTCATAAACTGTACACAGTATAAAAAGTAACATAGTATATGTAGAGATATACTTCATACTTATTATCATGAAGCCAAAAGTTTCCTTAACCTTCAAAAGCTTGATGAATGATTTCTATGGGACTTCAGGAATGCAAAATCAATGGCTCTAAAGCTAATTAAAGCCTGTGAGTAATCTAGATTTTTTTTTGCTGGTGTGTGCTATTCTTGCTCTGAGGTTCTGCTGTCATCCGGGTGGTAACACTGAAAAATGCTGCTGCTTCCACTAAATGTATTTTACAGGTTTTTTTGTTCCTATAGAAAGGTGAGAGTGTTGTGGGGGTAATGTAGGGGACATGGGGGTTGCCCCAATATAGGTTTAGGTTAAGTTCCTTAAGATCCATTTGGGAAATGTTCTAAGACACTGTTGGTTAGAATGAATTCCAGTCTTGTATGTTTTTAGTACAAAATGTGCAATCCTTAAAGAAAAGAGCTCTAAGAGAGTTTTAAAATATCTACCTGGTATGGATTCATAAAAATAACCTATACATAGATGTATTGAAATAATAATAGTTTAAAAAAAAAAAAGCAGCTTATTTTGAGGGTGCAAAAGCTTTAGGCAATCTACAGATACAACTTTGTAACTTCAAAAAACTTCAGCAGCTCAGCAGAGATACGCAGATTATAGTTTGTGAAGGAATGGGGTACTTTTCCATATAAACATCAGTTCTGACCATGAAAAATGGCTTCTATGAAACAGCAAGGATGCAAATTTTAGAGTCATAGTTCTATCCAAAAGTGCAGGACTTAGTTTATATTGTCTTGCACTCACATCCCTGGATTTGGCTTTTTTATTTAGATAGCATGAAAAATGGGGGAGAGTGAAGGATCATTTCACATGTGCAGGAAAGAGTATTCTAGAGTGGTAGATTCATTATGAAACTGCAAATGCATGATATAATTATGGAAAACAATATTACTGGATGAACTAATGTGTAAAAGACTTGTTTAGATGACGATCACTGCTTTATCTGTATTCCAGAACACAACCTGCCTTTCCTTATACTTTATAGATATTAATTAAGGAAAATTTAAGTTCTATTTTAAGCTAAATGTGTAGAAAAATATCTTGAGTTTGTAGGTTCTTACTCTGTCTATATGTGTATGTGTGAATTTCAGAAAATTATATTATGTAAGGTAGCATGAAGTATAGTACAGGAGTTTTTCTGTCTCCCATCAGTTTTGTGATTTGTAGTTGCAGAGGCTTAATATAAAAGAGTTCGAGTTATTATTAACTGTTACTTTTAATTCTGTGTTTTCACAACATGCTATAACTGGAATAATTGGAACTCCAGATCACTGATGGCTTTTTTCCAGAACATTAATTGTGCCATTTGTAAAACACGAGTTTTATCTTTATGGAACAACAGAAGCCAAATGGAATGTTTACCCTAACCCATACCTCCCTCTTCCTCCAACCTCTTATGCCTGTTATTTTTCTTATACAATTATTTTTGGTTTGTCTAATAGGTTGATTTGGTAAATATAGGGAGCTCAGACATTGTGGATGGAAATCATAAGCTGACCCTTGGTTTGATCTGGAATATAATCCTCCACTGGCAGGTGAGTGGCATTGCTCCTTACTTTCCATGAAGTACTTTTATTCCACTGATCTTGTTCCCATTATTATCCAGCAACAACTTACAAAGTAAACATAGACATTGCAATGTGCTAAATCAGCAAGTTTTATGGCAGTCTGTTTACATATCATCTAGGATATTAAGAAGATAAAATAGTTTTTAGAGCATTAGCAGAAGCTCTTTTGACTGTAATTTCACCATCAGATATTGCAAAATTATATATATAAAACAGTTATCAAAAGAAAAAATGGATAGACAAAACCAATATAGCTTTCATAGTCACTTTTCTTTTTAGTATCTTAGAAAAAGTGACTTTTATATTTTAATAAAATAATCACATTTGTTGCTTTTTCCTGCTGACCCATCCTGCCAAGAATTATTTTTAGAACACTAAAAAGCTGCAAGGCTGCTAATTTATTGAAGCAGATGTGGCTCATTTAGCTTCCTTTGTCTTTAGAGAGAAAGGGGTGATTATGATGCGGATCTTATAAAAAACATTATGGTAGACGAGGACACTTGAGTAAACAAATTCTGAGACAGCAGCAAAAACAAAATTCAAAAAGAACTAGCATCTAGATGCTTTGAGTCTGTATATATCTATGAATTTGGACTGAGTGTGTCCATTCATGTCCAAGCAATAAGCTACGAGTTTTTCATAGTATTACAAGAAAAGATGGTAGGAAACAAAGTCTAGAATGCTTTATATTAAAAATTAAACAATCCTATCAGAATCACACATGCATCATTCATTGAAGAAGAGAATATTTTTATTCAAAATTTACGGGACATATAGTGAGAGCAACAAAGAAAAGCTGCAAATAGTTTACTGACTTTTTCCTTTGTCTCCCATATTCCTAGTTTAATTGCATAAAATTCTTTTAAATTACTTATTAAGAGCAGATGGAATATGATACCTAGCTGTGCAACTTTTGCCAATAATCCTTCAATCACTGTGTTTCAATTTGCAAGAATAATGAACTGACTGTTCATGTTCAAATTAATATTTTGATTTGTTCTTATTTTATCCTGAAGCAAACTGTTAAAGGTGTGCTTTAGTATTATCTATGTACTTACTAATCTCTTTTCAGTTGTTCCCACCACTCCTCTTAACACACACACAGAAGACAATGTTCTGATATAATTTGCTGAGCTTTTTGACAGCAGGCACGTGCTCTTGGAGTACCTCTTGCTTGCAGGGCACAGGTGGTTATTTTCAAACTTCATCTTGAACCTAATGATAACTGTGACAGCATCTGTGATGGTACCCAAGGCTTCAGTCTGAACTAACCATGTATGAAAAGTCCAAGGATCTTATTTACAAAGCATCAGATAAAACTGTGACACTTTCTCAGCGTAGTCATAATGATTCAGTCCAAGTTTCATCTAACTTTGAGTTCCGTGTTTCAGTTTATTTTTATTTGTGAACTCCTGAAAGGAAGTGACCTGTATATTCTGGACTTCTCTTTTTATTCAAAATTTTGTAAATAAATTTTCTAATTTGTCTAGAATTAAATTTCAAATAATAGCACCTGTTACTGTTGCATAACGGTGAATAATTAAAAAATAATATAAAGACAGATTTGTATTTGGGCTTTTCTCTCTTTTTTTTTTTATTTTTTAAAAAAAAAGGACACTTGGGAGATGGTTTGCTGCTTATTTCCCTCAAAGTATTGGAATGGTTCAAAGTAAATTTGTTTGTTTACAGCTCTGTGGAGAAAGACTGTTCTTTTCCAGATTTTAAGTTTTGAAGTGATTTTCATAATCTAGAATATGTTTGTTATTGTCCTGTCCTATTTACATACTGACAGCACTTCTGGTGAAACAAGGCTCTGAGTTTCTTAAGAAAGTGTGCTGATTCCTGTTGGTTCCAATTTGCCTATCGCAGATTTGCCCCTGGAAATAAGCAACTGGAAGCATAATAAGAATACATAAAGACTCAGGGCCACCAAACTTATCTGCCAGTTGTCTACAGTTGAGTAAAATATCTCACTCTCAATAATAATTTATTAAGACAACTATGTTAATTTGTAGTCTGTAGAAGGCCTAAAAAAATTAGATAGTATGGTGCAATCCTAGTTTTACAGCTCTTCCACTTTCTGAGCTAGAGGAAGTTTATCTGCCTGCATGGAAAAAAAAAAAAAGTTGTGTGGCAGTTATTTTGTTGCAGATAACAAGCAAGAAGCTTTTTTCCCCCCGTTTCACATTGTGCAGCCAATATCACATAAACTTTACTTATATATGACCACGTGATGGTCTCTTACAAAAATGTCAACCACTTTGTGTAAAAATTAAAAAAAAAAAAAAAAGAAATGGCAGAAGAAAGGTGCATGGAGGGAATAATGAGTCAGTACCAGTCCAAGTGGATATCAGAAGTCCCATTGAGGAGAAGCAATAATAGAGGGATCGCAGCAGACACAACTCAACTCATTCTTGCCACTGTCATTTCTGTTCAGTAGAAATATCATGGCTTTCTATATCCCCTGTGGTGATTGTGTCCTTTCTTATCTAGCCTGTTTTTTTCAGATTATTATTAAAAGTCTCCCTGAAATTGAACCATCGTTCTGAGTTGAGCACCTGCTGCCAAAGCTCTTTTTGCTACTGCATCCATCAGGCTTTCTATTTCCTTGAAGCTGCTGCCCTCTTTCTCACAGCTCTGTGATCCCAGCCTCAAAGCAGCATTAGCATCTAAGTAAAAACAGAGCAAAATTATTAATTTCTGAACTGTTATCTTTGACAAACTCTCTTAAGAGTGGAAAAAACATTCTCTGTTGCAGTGTGTAAGTTCTTTTGTCATGTTTTTAAGAGCGAACTGATTTTCAGGTAAAGCATGAAAGAAAACCACTAGCAAAAGTCTTTGGTGAGAATCACGGCCCAAATCTTGACTTTCTTTATAAAAAATAGCAAAAGAATAGACATATACAGAAGGCATATGTTTCAGAGACGTGCATTTCAACAGTTTTTCAGCCTTGTTTGGAGACTTGTTAAAAGCATCAGGGTTATTGTGCACTTGCTGCAGAATCAGTATTTTAAGAGGAGTTACCATTTCATTTTATTTTGAATTTTGATTTTGGAAATGAAATATTAGTGGTTCTGTCAATCCACTTTGAATCAATGAGCAAAGAATATCCTTTACTTTAAAAGATATGACTTGAATATCTGTGAAAACATTCTTAAAAGTGTTCTTTCAAGTGTGCTTTGAAATACTTTAGTGGTTCTAGCTATAAAAGGCATAATCTATGCAGTCAGAATACCTGAAGCATAGCAAGTAAAAAATACTAAGTCATTCTATCAGGGAGCTATAAAGTTCCCATTTGATAGAGAAAAATGAAAAATTCTTGCTTTGAGAACAGTTTTCTTTTTAGATTATCTTTTTCCCTCCCACTGTTCTAGGGTCTGGCATCCTGAAGCCAAGTGCCAGTCTTACAAAATGTTACATGCCTAAGTGTTGGTTTTAAATTGAAAAGATGTAGTGAGACCCTTAGATCATGCTGTATTCCTGGTCATCTGACACACAGAGCTACAAATGCACAGGCTCCAGGATGTGGTCCTGCAGTGGGAGGATCAGAGATCCACTGCTGCTGTGAGCCAGGGCTGGCTGTGCTGCTTTTAGCTGTTTCTTAGTGCTGTGACAAGAATAGCAGTGTTCCCATTCCATTCACAGCTTTCCATTTGGCAGTTTGGCATTCCAGAAACCATCTTGGTGATGTCTGTGTTGCCCTTTTCACCCCTTCTATCAAAATTTAATCTTTTCTTATTGCCATAGCATATGGCCATTCCCCAGGAAGAGCAAGTATGTCTATTCTCTGGAAGTCAGAGTTTCCTACACTTTAGAGCTTTGTGTCCTGCCAGGATATATTACATTAGAAAGGAGAAGTAGCAGAGAAATGAGTATCAGAGGTCATCCCATCATCTGACAGCATGAGGCAGAGCCTACTAGACACTTTGAAATGGCTGTAGTTTTTGAGCCTGGATGCTGAAAGAGTTTATCTTCCCAAAAGCTCTTCAGGCTGACATGAACACATCTCTATGAACTACGTTCTCAACAGTACATCTTAACCAAGAAGCCTTCAAAAAGCTTCCTTCTCACTCAAATGTCAGCCAGCAGTTTTCTGCTCAAGTGCTGATCTTGCTTCTGACTGAAGTCAGGAATGTGTCCCGTAAAATTTAGAGAGGATCAATTTCTCCTCCCATCTTAGAAACTAATAACATATAAAGTAAACTTTATACTTAAGTCTCAAAAGACAGTGAAAAAACTGAAGACAGTGATACTTTCTGGTAGTATGCATCTGAGATGCAAACCCAAGATATTTTCAGTAGTTCATATCTTTATGTAGTCAAATGACTAAATTAGTTACTGTGAAACTACCAAGCAACTTACCGATACACAATAAAATGGTATCTCTGTTTTCTCTGCAGTATCACAGTAATTAATTTTTGTTGTTGATGATTATTCTTTCAGATTACATCTTCTGCATGTAATCTTACAATTTTTACAATTTCAAAGTGGTCCATCCTTTATCATAAAGTAGCTTCTGCACTGCATGTTTTTCTTTGACTAACTGATACTGGCTGCAGAGGAATTCAAGGGAAGAATTATAATGAAATGCTATATTTCATAAGTGAATAAGCAACTTTATAGTTAAATTATATCTTAGGAAGTATTTTAAAGAGCTGCTAGTTTTTCAAAGATATATGGAGAAAGCAAAAGAAAAGAGAAAGAAAAGAAAAAAAGAGTTCACTCTACAGGAAAATAATTCTGAATAGATGTTTTACGTGCTCTTGCACTAGTAAAGAAGTTGATAAGAAATATGTATTCTACTGCATTATGTCAAACTCCAGGCTAATATTTTTAAAAACCCTTAGGCTTTTTGTAAAATAATAACTGTAGATTGGTAAGCTCTCTCTAGTGAAAGAAGAATATTAACTATTCATTAAAAAGTAAAATTGAAACATATGCATTACTCTTTTAATGCAGGCAGTGAA